GCCTTTAAGAAAGATGGGAAAAGACTTTTTATCAGGGCCTGTTGCAACAGGACAAGAGGTGATGGCTTCAAACTAAAAAACGGGAGATTCAGGCTGGATGTGAGGAAAAAGTTCTTTAGAATGAGGGTGGCAGAACACTGCAGAGGTTGCCCAGAGACATGGTGGATGCCCCATCCCTGGAGACATTCAAGGACAAGCTGATGTGGTTCTGAGTAACCTGATGTAGCTGAAGGTGTCCCTGATCATTGCAAAGGGATTGGACTAAATTACCTGTGAAGGTCCCTTCCAACCTAAACATCAGAACTCTGCACTTATAAAGTCTTTGGTGCTTAATCTGATTTATGGGAAAAGACAGAAGCTGCCCATGTCCAAAGATGCACTTCTGTAGAAATATGGCTTTTATTCAACATTGATCAAAAAAAAGGAAAAAATAAAAAAAAAAGTCAATCAATGACCAAACCAGACTGAGAAATACAGTTCACTTCTCTACAATACTCCTCCTCTAACAACCCTAAGAGAATCTGTTCTTGATTTGACAATCCCTTCAATATTTTTAGGGTTGCAACAAATAAACTGGCAATCAAATCAGTCTGAGAAATAAATCTTGAAAAATGCACATTTCCTCTAAGACAAAACCAAACTTACTAGCAACAAATACTTATTAATTTTTTACATTTTAGTAATCCCTCTTCTTATCTGAAATGCAACAGGTGGCATTAAATTTACTTTGCATCTATGATATACTCATTCTACAGTTAACCATGTAATTCCATTTACCAAGAAGAGTAGATATCTTTGCCCATAAACAAATCTAATTGAACTAGCATTAGGGGAAAAAAAAAACAAACAACAAAACAAGAACAGCATTTTCATTTGGCTAAGAAAAGTTAGATTACAGTGCAATCTGTTCAGCATTTGAAGGATGTCTAGGTAGTAACAATTTTTTATTAAACAGATAGTGTCTGTTTTTATTCACCTGTACAGATACATCAATTTTTTCTTTTTGGTAGCTACTGCACAACCCCTCAGCTAATTATTGCTAATGTTTCAAGAATATGCAGCAGTTAATTATTGTTATTAGTGTAATTAGTTTGCTAAATATATGCCAGCATCGCATGCTCTCAGGGTTTAGAGGGTCTTTTGCATGTATTTTTGTAACACTGAAAAATAAAGCTAAACCCAGAGGTCTGAGCTGCAACATATTTGAGACCATGAAAGTGCTTGGTTAACTGTCCTGATGCAGATCTCTGAAGGTATTTATAAGGTATATATGCAAAAAGTCTTTCAAAACCAGTAAGACTCTTAGGGCTTAAAACCTACATAAGGCAACCTGAAGTAGGTGTGAACAGTACTGAGTTCCTGGAACTTCTGAGCCTACCTGAAACCTCTGATTGAACCAAAGACTGAATGTCAAAATCTTAGAAATGTGTAATTCCAGTTAGGATTATATTCAAATGAGAGTCAGTAAAAATTTCCTTTTAAGTCATGTCAGTTTAATTCCTGGTTCTAGCCTAGTTTTGGCCTGTACTTGCAGGAGAGTGTATAGCTCTTCTTGATGTCTGACACAATCTACACAAAGTAATAAATTAGCATATTGCTCTGCAAGCAAAAATAGTTTATTTTCAGAAGCCTTAGAAGGGATAACTCATTTTAAGGAATCTAAGTTGGGGCTGTTCAGCCTGGAGAAGAGAAGGCTGTGTGGAGACCTCATAGCAGCCTTCCAGTATCTGAAGGGGGGATATAGGGATGCTGGAGATGGACTATTCATTAGGGACTGTAGTGACAGGACCAGGGATAATGGGTTAAAACTTAAACAGGGGAAGTTTAAATTGGATATAAGGAAGAAATTCTTTACTGTGAGGGTTGTGAGGCACTGGAATGGGTTGCCCAAGGAAGCTGTGAATGCTTCATCCCTGGAGGTGTTCAAGGCCAGGTTGTACAGAGCCTTGGGTGAGATGGTTTAGCATGAGGTGTCCCTGCCCATGGCAGGAATGTTGGAACTTGATGATCTTAAGGTCCTTTCCAACTCTAACTATTCTATGATTCTGTGATTACAATACAGAAATCAACTGCTAGAAACGCATACAGCTTTGCACATTCAGTTAAACTGAACTCTGTTTTTGGGGTGGTGCTTTTTCCCCTTATCAAATAATGGCCGAGATTTATTTTTTTGCCACTGATTATGAAATGTGGGGACCCTAAAGTCCCCTAAACTATTTGCAGTTTAAACATCATTACTCTGAATGTGGTGGGTATCACGCTTGGATATGGTGACTATCTTCTATTACCAATTCTTACGAAATTTCTACTACACCAAATAGTCCAAATAACAGGAGGTTGGCTGTCCTCTTGCCATCTCAGAGAATAGAACTCAAGAGACAAAAGAGAGCAAATATTCTATAAGCAGCAACATCAAAAGAACATCCACCTTTGCTGTCCTCTTCCTCGTTCCTCCTCACACATATGGTCACAACACTTAGCCCCTTGTAATGAGCACATAATTTTGAGTGCAAAGACCTCCATACGTAGAGTCTGAAGTTGAACAGTGAGAAAAGCACAAGAGGGTGGGAAACAAAGGATCAAATTGCCCACGTGATCTCTAAAAGTGAACTATGTCCAGGGCAAAAGAAATATTTTAACATTTCTGCAGCCTGTTTCCTAAGAAAAACTCCAAATCTGAATTATTTAGTATTGAACAAAATGAGGCTTTCATCAGAGAGAGGTTTCCCACTCAGCAACTCACCACAGATGCTAAAGCTTTTATCATGACAAAAAGCAAAGAAAGTGAGAAAAGAAGGGGAAAGAAGCCAAGATATTATCAATATATCATTCCATATATCACTTATCTGCCGAAGTATAAACTGGTAATTGAACTTCTGGGATTTTTTAATCTCTGATCTTTATTCTACAGAATACTTTCAATTCTGAAACTTCTTTGATGGTTAAAATCATGACTTACTCAACAGAGTGAATCTAGGTCATTAGGGGAAAGCAGAGCTCATCTTGGAGAATGAAAGTAGTCACTCAGGCCTTTTTCTGCTTTTAATCCAGTGTAAATTAATCCTGCCTACACAACAGTATGCATGATTTATGGACTGACATCACTTTTTCCTTATCTCTAACAGAATTCTATCAGTTGGACCATCTCTCATGATTCTACTGAAATATTCTGTGTCCTTTCCATGCTGGAAGTTCATATCCAGTAAATTATGAATGGCTCATCTCCCTTCTTCTGTATTTTTAATTCCCAGTTGCCATTTTTTCCCCCAGAAACTTCACTTTTGTGAAAAGAACAGGTTTTCACACTCCCATTAAATGTCCTAACTACCCACTTTGTCCTGTTTTCATTTCTCTAGACCACACAGACCCCCAGTTCTTGAATACTCATGTGGTCCTCAGGCTTGGAGGTGTATCACTACCTTGTATTACAGATTTGAAGGCTTTATTCTCATGAAATCAACAGCTAATGTTTTCTGAATGGTAAGATTTGAATAAGCATCATTTGTGCTTTAAAACTCTAACAATAAATGGGAACTCTAAACATTTCTCAGTGTATATGTAGAATTTGGCTTTTATGATTAAGTTTTACTATGATTATGGTATAGTTTGTAGTATCCTTTGTTTTGGTCAGTGAGTATTCAAAATTACACCGTTCTCACAATGATATCCTTAGGAAAAATTGCTGTCATCTTTTGGAAGCACTCAGGGGAAGGAAAATTAGAAAAAAAAGGAGACATTTTACTGAAAATTCCAGCTGATACATCCTGGATACCTGCTTTACCATTGAAAATTGAAGAAAGTTACTCAGAGAAAACCAGTGTTTTCTTCTTTCCCATTTTATACAGTCATCATAGCATAACATCTGGCCAAGATTTGTTTGCTTGGTTAAGCAATACTAATGGGAAATAGCCTTTATTGATAGATGTGCCACTGAAGTTGAAGCCAAACATAACAAGAAAACAGATACAGAAAGGAAATTATATCCACTCCAAGTAATTAGTTTTTTTCTGTATATATACCTTGTCTTGCTGTTTGAATGGGAAATAAACTTGTTTGAGCTACATAATTATTACAGTTTAGTTTCACAGCTTACTTATCCTGCAATTTCTTTTAAATCTAGCCTCGATATACTGTATTATCCTTTTTCTGTTGTCTGTTTTCTTCTTCCCTTTTTCTTTTGAATTTACACAAGATGTAATCAAATGCTTCTTGCGTGGACAGCTCAATACACTGGCTTTTAAGACAAACACTGCGCGTTCAGCAAAGTCTTTTCAAGAACAGAGAATGCTACTGTCAGTGAGAATAAATCAAAGGTGATAATATCTGGGAAAAAGAAAACATTGTCTGGAGAAAATAATGACTCCTCTGAAGAGATACCATTGTCAGACACTAGCATATCTTACCAGCGCTGTACGGTGTTATTAAAATATGCTGCAAATCTACCTTATCACCTGGAGTGAGACTCTGACAGGCATTCTGTAACTGTCTGGGAAGGAGAGGAGACTAACACCAGCTAAGCCACAATGACACTCAGCAAAAAACTCAAAAGGAGATACGGGGAAGGGAAGAGAGTCACTGGGTGCATCCCCCAACTCTGCACTATACAGCTGACTTACTTCGCAGTTAGTTCCATTCCTGCCTGAGCACAAGGACAGGCAGGCCAACAAGTTACATCCACAGTGTTCATCACACCATCACCCCTCACCAAGTGTCAGAGGGATATTACTGCTTGCTGCTAAACTAACAGCAGCAAGCTCCTCAGTGGAGCCAAGGTTAGTTTTACACAACCATCCGATTAAAAAGGCTTATAACATTTCAGTCTGCAGCAGATTAAGCTGACTCACTGTCCCAGTCATGAACTGTTATAAAACAAGTCTTTTATCCAAGCCAGGTACAAGAGAAAGAGGAATGAAACCCCTCATTAAACAATTTTCTTTTTCTGTGAACTTTAGACTCCCAATTTACCCCTCCTCCCCAAATATGCTGTTGGTGAAACTTACCGCTTTTGCCAACTCCCCCCGCTCCTAGCATCACCACCTTGTACTCTCTGGAGCCTGATGAAGAATTGCTGGAGGAGCTGATCATTTCGTTTTCTAGCTCCATCTTGCACGAGGCAGAAGAAGGGAGCAAAAGGGAAGAAAAAGCAACTGGCAGGTGCTTTCTCTGATCTTAAACAACTATAAAAGCTGCGTTAGAGGAAAAAAAAAAGGCAGCAGAAAGGAAAGGTATAATGCAAGAGGTACGATTTATCAGTCTCGCACTCGCTGCTGTGCCTGTGTAGCTGGAGAAGGTCTCATAGCAACCACTTTAACAGCTTCCAATAAAAATCTCTCTCTGCCCCCTCCCAGCTCCGTATCATTCTCTCTGTTTCTCTTCCTGGACAGAAGCAGTTTTGTGAGGCTCAAGAGCCCTGGTACCTCGGGGTGTTGCTGTGTCATTGGAATCAAATTGAGCAGACCCTCCAGGAAAAGAAACTGGATCAAATTACTTAATTATGATGCTTGTTATTCCATGTAGCACTTGTTCAAATCTTAATAACAAAACAGAGCAGGCAACCTTCTTGTCACCTTGGAGTTTAATATTCATGCTATATTCATCAAGTTTGCTAGATTTACATTAGATATGAAATAAGCAGTAGCTTTCAAGAGTCTTTGTTCCTCATGAAGCTTACTTTAAAGCACAGAAGTTTTTTAAGGTTAGTTTTGCCCCCACATCAATTCTGTTTTAGTTCAGTTTGCAACCATTACTTGCAGAAATAAGCCAGGTATTTTTTAAACAAGGCTTGTTTATTCTTTTTCATTTTCCCCACACAGGACTTCAGGAGATTGAGATTTCAGGGAGGGGAAAAGATAAATAGATTTATCCAGAAAACATCCATGTAGGCAAAGAAGAAAACTGAAAACCAAATTGTTCTAAGTATTTAATACTAATATCAAGCAATTTAGCTAACTAACTTGGTCAGCACTAACAAGTAAGAATAGAATAAAACTAAAAGTTTGTGAATGACATCCAGTGTGAAAAACCCCCAGTAGAAATATTCAGCGAAAACTTAACCACAGAAGACTGCAGCGCTTCATTGATTTCTAATGTCCTTACTAGATCTGATACATTTAAAGACTAACAAAATACTTGCCCAGCTTTAAGCATTATGCAGTGTTTTTGAGGGCTAAAAAGCATCTATTGAAAAAGGGGTAGGAAGCAAAAACTTGTGCTCCCTCTGAGTAATGTGGGGCTTTCATGACAGGTGGAACTATTAAGATAGGAAGCAGGAGAAGCAACTAGTAAAGTATCTTGGAAGCCTTCATCTGTCTACTTCTCCAGTTACTTCACAGAGAGTAAATGTGTGCCATTACATAGGAATACAAAATTAAAAGTTGAAAGGCAAAGAAAAAAAAGCCAAAAAAATCATAGCATGATGAAGGATGTTAAAGAAAAATTAGGAAGAGGAAAAGATATAGAAAGGCATACGTATGAAAGAGAGCTTAATGGACTAAAAAAAAAGAATGAGTAAACAGAAGAGAGAGAATTCTGTTTAGAATGGAGAAAGTAAACAGAACATGAATACTCATTTTCCCTCATAAGAAAAAATTAGGAAACACCAACGAAACGCAAAGTACCTGGGATCAAAACTTGTGAAGAGTCATCCCTAACTTAAGGAACTTGCCACTTAATGTTTTGGGCAGTAAAAATGAACTTTTAATGAAAAAGAATTTAAATGCAAGGAAATACAAAATCCACTAGGGGCTATTAAAATCACCATCTCTTGCTTAAGAAGTACTCAATTTACACCAACAGATGCTGGGAAAATACTGAAGAATCAGTAAAATAGTCTGTTTTCAGATTGAGAGCAAAAGAGAGCAGAGGGGGAGTATTCTGAGAACCTCCAGAATCAGGATGCGCTACTGTTGTCCTACATGGTTTCTGTAATAACCATGCTGTGAGCAGCTTTGTCCTGTCAGGACTGGGTGGCTTGTATGGCTGTACAGATGCCTGGATGCAGACTTCATAATTCAGAATGACTTGGTCATCAAAGCATAAAACAGGACTTAAGCAGGAACTTCTGAATATAATAAAGTGATGTCTAAATATTGAATTTCAGCAGAAAGAGACAGGTAGGTCAGTAAATCCCTGTTGTAGATCAGTAAATCCCTGTTGTGACTGAAATTCCATTTTCATTAAAATCATTTTCAAGTGCTCAGTATTGATATATTAGATAAAACTAATAATGACACCAAAATGACTGCTTAAGAGTAACTGGGTTTTCCTGGTAATCTCCCATCAACACAGCAACCTGCTTCTTAGGCGAGTGTGACCTCATAACAGGTGCATTTGGCTAAAATTAAAACATCAGGAAAGTGAGTGGCTGTGCAAAATATTCCAAAGCAAAACAATTAAAAAAAAAAAAAAAAAGCTATTATAATGTATAGAGAACAGATAAGAAATAGTCAGATTTTTTTTGGTTTTTTTCCAGCTGTTGGTGTTTAGTAGAGAAAAGTGGCAAGACATTTTTTTTCCTTTGGTTTAGAGCTGGAACATGGGGAAGGGATACAAGAAATGGAAGAGGCTACAGACAGGAATTATGTTAGAACAGGAAGCAAAGTGCAAAGTAAGACAGAACTAAATGGAAAGGCACTTCCTCATCTAGAAAAACAAGGACAGTATTTTTATGGTGGAAAGAGTGGAATTAAAACATATTTTATCAGTTGAATGAGGATTAACCATTTAAAATCTCTTTAAAGACAGGTACATGTTTATTAAACAGTTTAGTAAGTATCATGACATTATATAAATACTTGGACAAACATATCCTCCTAATTTTCACACAGATGTGTCCATAGCCTTATGAGGTAATACTTCATTCCCATTTATAATGCAGGACTTGTTCTAATTGCTTTTCATTGTAACTCCCTATTGACAAACAGCCTACTCTGCCCAAATTTCATTCAGTTCAGTAGCTGAGAACAAGTATTTCTCTTCATTCCTATGTACAACAACATCAATTAGTCTTCCTGCTCCCACCTGAGCAGAAAAGTACAAGATTTTGCTTTCAGTCTGCTGCCAAGAAAATTAATACTGAGATGATTTGAAATGACTCTCCTTGAAACACATAATACAGGGCGAAAAATCACCCATATAAATGCATTATGGACAAGAGGAAGAAAGAGTAAAAGATGCAACAACTGAACCTGAGATACTAACATTTTCATAGAGTTACTATTCCACAACAAATTCCAATCTATTTTATCTGCTTCCCTGTGCTTTTTCATTTAAATAATTGAAACTTTGAAGTCGTATTTTGTCATTTAATATTGAAATAGCTGTGTGCTCAGATAGTTAAGGTCTTAAGCAAAAGACAACATACAGATAGGTATATTAGGAGTAGATGAGGTTTTTTCTAGAGAAAATGCCATTAGAAAACACATTCCATTCATCCTACATCCCCATTTGCTCTGGGGGTGTTGAATAAAATAATGAGACATTAATACAATATGTAAATGTTCTGAATTGTTTCCTAGGGCACTTTATGTTGAGGAGATTTTATCAATTAACCTGGGTAAATATTCTTGTCATTAGGCAGGGAGCTTATGAGTTTAAAAACTAGAAGAGCAAGCAAAATGCAAATCTTGACGTATCTGTGCTCCATTAAGTGATGGGTTAAAGGCATGTGAACCATTTAATAATAAGCAAATATGCATGAGCCTACTAGGGTCTATGCCATTATGGAAACACTGACCACTCTTTTGCCCCTCATGTTTACGTATTAGGCACAACACAGAAAGGAAATTTGAAAAGCATTCTTTATAAAAAGGGATATAAACCCACCTTGTTGAATTGCTGAAGTGCTGCTATGGCAAGAGTGTTAATACAGAAATCATTGCACCTGATAAAAAAATGCATTTGGCACACTATCTTAACTTGATCATTTCTGAGCAGCATAATAAAGTAATTGCTAGGGGACTTGTAAAAAAAATTTAAATTTTACATTAAAAGATCTAACATATTCACTCTTAAATATGCTGAATACCTCTGAATTATATTGTTAAGGGACCTCCAGCACACCACAGAAGCAGCTGAGCATTTGTGGAATTTAGATTCCTACTACAAATACCCAGTAGTTCAATCACCCATTTGCCACCAGCACCTTGGCTTCCTTAGGTAATCCCCATCCTTTTTTTATTCTTCAAATTACTCACCTGTATGATGTCTCACTGTGTCACATACGGTATACTTGATGGGTAACTTGACAACCTACCACCTTGAAGCTGGCACTTCAGCTTGAACTGTTGAGGCATATGCCTTTTGTTCTGAAGTTCGTATTTCTGTCCCTAGTGTCAGTCGACATACTGTCCCCGGCCTCTGCTGCAATGAATTTTAATCTAAGCCTTATTAGTATGTCAAGTGGCAAAAAAAAAAAAAAAAAAAAAAAAAGAAAGAAAGGAGAAAAGATGCAAGACTGACTATTGTCCTGGGTTCAGCAGCAGCAGTCATTCTCCTTCTTAGTAGCTGGTGCATTGCTGTGTTTTTGACTTTCAGCCTGGGAACAGCACTGATAACAACGATGGTTTTAGTTGCTGCTTAGTAATGTTTACTCTGACCAGGACTTTCTGAGTCTCATGCTCTGCCAAGAAGGAGGGGAAGATGGAAGGAAGTAGAGACAGAACACGTGACCCAAACTAGCCAAAGAGTTATTCCATACCACAGCACGTCATGCTCAGTACATAAACTGGGGGCAGTTACCCAGAAGGGTGAGATCACTGCCGGGGTCGGGCTGGGTATCAGTCTGCAGGTGGTGAGCGGTTGTATTCTCTTCCCTTGTTATTTCCCTTATCATTATTACTATTGGTGGTAGCAGTAGTGGTTTGTGTTATACCTTAGTTACTGGACTGTTATTATCTCAACCCATGGAAGTTACATTCTTTTGATTCTCCTCCCCATCCCTCCGGGAGCGGGGAGAGGAAGGCAGAGAGTGAAAGAGAGACTGTGTGGCTCTGAGTTACAGCTAGGCTTAAACCACAACAACTATTAACAGAAAATGTGAAACAACTTCGGAGTCCACAGAGCAAACAAACATTGTGGTTTCGCTCTAGTCAAAGAAGGGAGGTTTACCATGAACAGCATCTACCTTTTGATTATCCCCAGTCAAACAACGCAACTAATGTACCTGCTGTGTAGAGGTTTGAGATACAGGGGCAGTTTACCACATTTTTGAGAACACCCAAATAGTATTAACTTTAATTTTTTTTACAAGCATCTACTCAAACTTCTTATAGAACAGAAGCACTTTGTCAAAGGGAAAAGCTATTTTCTCTGGGTTTCCAATAAGGTTTCACAAATGATTTATGATCTTACTGTCAAGAAGCACTAATGATCAC